CTCTCTCTCTCTCTCTCTCTCTCTCTCTCTCTCTCTCTCTCTCTCTCTCTCTCTCTCTCTCTCTCTCTTGATCTATCTATCTATCTATATCTCTCTCGCTCTCTCTCTTTCTCTCTCTCTCTCTTCCCTTCTAGATCCTTGGCCTTCACCCTTTTTTTTTTCCCTCTTCCTCTCTCTTCTTTGCACATGACTAACCTTTCTCCTCGCTTGTTACATTGCTAGGGAACGAACGGTAAACGAAGTCGGCCCTCACTTGGTGGAGAGAGAGGGCAAGGGGAGGGTTGTCGGTCCCTTGTGCCATCAAGAAGGAAAGGAACGGGACCTTTGCGGAAACTTGGAAATGAGAGATCTTTTGAAAAAAAATTGAAAGAGTAAAGGCTTGAGACCAGGTCAGTTTGACTCAACCATCCTCCCCGACTGCATGACTAAGGAGAAGGCATGGCTTGCTTGAAGGGAGGGAAAGGGAACCAAAAGAGCCATTGGAAGAGAAAGGAACTTAGGCTTGCGGGAGGGGCGATGTGTTGACCCCCAATGGGGATTGTATTTGGTCTTTGCTTGTGTGGTCTTGCGCAGGTGAGTAGCTTAGAATGGATTGAGCGAGACTGGACCCGCGAAATGCGGGCAAGAAAGAGGAACCCGATAAGGGAAGGACACGGGCCTAGCGTAAACTATGAATGTGGGTGGGGGCTTGATGATTGAATGCTTGGATAAAGAGTCGACGACAGAGTGCAACTTTGCATAATGAATGAATAACATGGCTCTTTGTGTGCAATACGAAAGCCCGAAAAGACTAAGGGCGGCAATGGATATGCGAGTAGGATGATTGTCAAGCAAAAAAATATATATAGGGGCTAGGGGCATGGACGGCGCGGCCGCACCCCGATGACGCCATAGAGATTGCCACGCTTAGTGAAAAGGTGTGTGGCCCAATGAATGACACTTGGCCTACACACGAAAGAAGACGAATTCTCAACGAATTCCCTGGACTGCTTGTGTATTGGAAGGAGCAAGTGCCTGGCCACACTTAAGTGAATCGAGAAAACGCCACGAGTGACCAAAGGACTACCATCTAACGCGAGAGTAGAGCTACATCCCCCAATGTGAAGCCCTCTCACAAAAGACCCATCCCCATCCATCTCATAGCACTAGGTGGGGGTGCCCCTGGGACGAACGACCCGCGCCCTGAGCTTGAGCGTGGGCGGGTCGAGCCAAATGGGACCCGCAATGGGGTCGACCCAGGCTCGAAAGTTCTTCAGGGTATGACTGCTACACCGTGATGAGGGGTCTAAAACAATTCTCATCTAGGACTGCGGCTGACCTAATCGAGGGCCGATTGGTGCTCTTTTTGAAAAAGCAGGACTCGACAACTAGGGAGGGACGAGATGGCACAGTGGTTGTCCTCGACGTAAGGGGTGGGGTGTCGGTCGTGATGCCGGAAGAAAGGACTTGGACGGACCTGGAGCCGACATACCAAACCGTGATGCCGGTTGAAAGTGATGCCTTCCTATGGATCGAAACAAGGTGGACCAAGGTTAGTTTGATGAGGTTGGCACCAAGCCTGCTGGACTTGGAATTTCGGGGGACCGTGGAGGCCCGGGGGTGGGTCTACTTGTCTAAGGAAAAGGAAAACGCCATGATTATAGAGCTTGTCTTAGGATTACTCCCGTACAAGTTGTTCAAGGAGGCTGGGCGGGAAGTGGTGTGGGCCGCGTGCTAGCGGGTGGAAATGGTGACGGAGGCGATTGATGTAAGGGTGGAACTTGGGGATAGAAGGAACGTACGAAAGCTGTTTCGGACCTTGAGGTGTGTCATGCCGCCCTTCATGGTGGATGCCATCTTAGGAACCCGGAGCAGGCTGATGCGGATATGTAGATCCATGGCAAGCCTGGGGGTGTACCAAGGGGCCCGACATGACTTCTTTCGTCTGTCTGTCGAGAAGGGGCCGTTCGAAGGGAATTAGGCAAGGGAACTAGCCACGATGTTAAACCATCTTAGTACGGACGGCCTGTTCGTCCCGAGCGACGTGCATTGGAAGATAGTATATAGGAATGTCGCGATAGGGGAGACGTTTCTGGAAGGGGTACATGACTTGTGGTATGAGGAGGACGATGACGACTCGGATGAGGAAGAGGGGGTAGAGATTGAGGATTGGGTTATCTAAAAAGAAAAGGGCTCGGGGCTGTATGGCATGGGTGGATTGGGGCTGTATGGCATGGGTGGATTGGGGCTGTGCAGGGGATCAAGGATGGCCAGGGAACTCCAACTAAGGAACTGCACGTTCAAAGGATGGGAGCCGAGACGAGTCGAAGGGGGGGTAGAGATGTCCATACCAGCGGATAATGAGTGGAGAGGGACCACGTGTGACTGGGTTGGATTTGAGATTGTGTCGGAATTGTCGTACCTATGGGTAGAACGGGTCTTGAATCCACTAAGAGAAGAGGAAAGATGGGAGGAGATTGCGGAAGAAAAGGTGGAATCGATCGGGACGGGCATCCTCTCGGAGCAGGGATGACATTTGTTCTGCACAACGCTCGCGGTAGGGCAGAGTCCGGTGTGGCTTCTGGGGGATGCCGAGGCAAGGACTCGAAAGGCAGGCGAGAGGTTTGCCAACAAAGGATGGGATGTGGTCCGCAGTAAGGTCGTGATGGGAGGATGGAGGGAGTTTAGACCTCCCTGCCTACGAACTAAGACTTGGGTACTCAAGTTCGTGGCAGACTAGTTTGGGGTTTTTGACCACGTCGCGGAAGTGGCCAGCACTATGGGGCCGGTGCACGTAAAGTGCGCATGGCTGACGGAAGAATTTTATAAGACATCGTTGAAATTTGGGCCCTTTCACGGCGACAGAGCCTGGGAGGTCCTCATCATTTTGGACATAGAAAACAACGATCGGCTAGAAGTGGCCCCAGAGATCAGGGACGCCATAATCCGCAGAGAGGTAGCAGCGACACCTTGCTATGTGGATGATGTGTTCAAATTATTCGAAGCACTGTGGTTTGACTAGGAGCGGAAAAACCCCGAGCTAGCGGGGTAAGACAAGGGGTAAAAGGGAGAAAAGAAGAAGGAAGGGGAAAAATTAGGGGATGACATAGACAGGGGAACATGTATTTTATGCAAACCAACCAGGAATAGAAGTACTAAGGCGGGGATTGGGGTGTCCGGCTATTGTAGGGATTGTTGCGGCACGGTGGGATAAAGATCGAAGGCGGGTAGAGGACGCGTAATGGCACGAAGGAGGACGTTCCTTGAGGATCGCCCGCTGGGAATTGAGCCGCCAAGGGAAGTGGTTGGTGGGGTGGAAATCAGCCTACTTACCGCAAATGAGATCCGACAGCCAATGGTGGATTGGGTCGGGGTCGAGCTCATGGAAAATACGGTTTACCTGGTGACCAAGGTTGAGTGGCGGGCGGATGAGAATGGCGAGTGGAATCCGGACCCGAGGGGACATGTGCACGCGGAGGGGTGGTTGTATGTGTCAGAGGATGGATGGCGCGCATTTGGAGTCCTACTAGCATCAGGGGAAGATCCGGTAAGCATGTTCGAGGGAGCATGGCAGCTAGTGTAAGAGGCGGGAGTCGAGTTCGCTGACCCGGAGTCCGACGATGTAACAACAAACCTTAGGGTGGCTATGGCCGGGAGTTCTATCTGCCTAGCGAAAACGTCCGAATGAGGTTGTCGTCCTTCTTACTAGAAAGGCTGGGCGGGCTGGAGCTTGTCAGACGGGCAGTGGCCGACCTCGCCAACCTGACGTTTGAGGAAGCAATGGTCCACCGGGAATATTACCGGGCCTTCTTGGAAATGGGACCATTCAGCAGTAAACAGAGGTATGAGGTACTGCGAATCTTGCGCGCCGTATTTACCACCAGGCCTAGAGTTCCGGTTGTTCACGATGAAGTCCTATGGGGCGTTGTCCGAAGGGAAATAAACCGGGGGTTGAGTTACGTAGACGATTTGTACCGCTTGTACGAGCTGTCAGAAGTGGAGGCGGGTCAATAAAAGGAGGAAGGAAAGAAAATAGGAATAAGCAAGAAAAGGAAGGTGAGTTAATGGTCAGGGAATCGCTCAGGTGGTGGTCAAAGAAATGGATGAGAATAAGCAAAGCTCGCTTGCTGTTTAAACTGTGCAGGGAACCACTAACCAGCAATGGCAATGAGGCCCGCCCGGACGTCACGACGACCCTAGTACCCTCGACCGCCCACGGAAAGCGGGGACGGATGGGAAGTGTTACTTCCAGCGAGCTACTTGGTTCGAGGGATTGACACGAAATGGAGAGTTGTGACCTTGGGAAGGGACCAGGCCTTCATGATGGTAGAATGATTATGGAGAGGTATGAGGTTCAATAGGGGACCAGGGGACGACCAACAACCGGAGAAAAGCGGAAGGATAGCAAGGAAGGAGAAGGGACTAGTACGGCTGGCGAAACGGGTAGTTCCGGGGGCGGGCTCAAGAAAATAGTATCCGCCCTCACTCGGGCATTGAACAAAAATCAGGGCTACCTCGCGGATGCCAAGAAGAAACTCACCTTTGATGGGGCGAAAATCACCGAATTTCTGATAGACTACGAGAACCTAGCAACCTTGTTGAAATGGAGTGAGGAAGAGAAGATGGACCACCTAGAGCAGCATGTGTCACTAACCTTAGGAAGGGGCATTATGGCCGTCGTCGTCGCCAGTGGATCTTGGAAAGAGACCCGAAATGAGATGATGAGGAAGTATCTAAAGGCGGAGAAAATGGCAACAGAAGCTGAATTGGCGGTCCTACAGAGGAAGAACTATGCGACTTACAATGACTTCCTGAGAGCGTTTACCCTAGTAGCGTTACGAATTCCAGGAGTAACGGACCGGATCATGATCAAGTATTTCCTTAGACAGTTCTCCAAGTTCGACAAGGATAAGATTCTGTCGGCCTATCAACAGACCAGCAAGTTGGAGTACACAAGGGACGTAGACTTCAGTACGGTAACAGACCTCGCGGAGAAGACGGTGATAACCGAGACGTTACTTGCTTAAGGAGGGAGAGATCATAGACTTGACCAGAAAGACGGGAGACAAGGTGAAGAAGGGAATAGAAAGTCTGCACGAACGGGTGCACGGAGTCAATAATAAGATAGAAAGAGTGGAGAATGCACTATTGGTAATGCAGGCGCAAGTTTCCCGCCCCGCCCTCCCGCCTCAAGAGGGTGTAGTCCCGATAGCAGTAGCCAACCGAGGATACGGTAGGAAAGATCCGGCCAATGAGCAATGCCGATATTGCACGATGATCAGTCACTTTGTGCGGACCTGCCGAAGACTCAACCACGATATTATGCGACGGAGATGCAGCAGGTCCCTTAAAGGCAAAATTTTCGGACCCCAGAGGGAGCGAATAAACTGGAATTCACCAGGGGGGATGCGGCGTGCGGTCATCATCCTGAATAACTTGGATGTAGCCGTCGTAGAAGCCGAGCCAGTAGCCGACATTGTTTGGGATCAGCCGCGGGGTCGCGGACCACAAGTCAATTTCATCCTAGGGAGTAATGGGCAGGATAGGGTGAACATCACCACCCGACGGGCAGGGGCGGAAAAAAGACTTATCCGAGATACGGTAATGGAGGAGGTTGCGAGAACCAGCACAAATCAAGGTGAGCCCGAGACCGGGGAGCCGGAGAAAGTCTATGGAAAGTCAAGGGAAGAAGAACCAATAGACAAAGCCACGGCGGCAAAGAAGAAGTTCAGGTACCAAATCCCGATCTTGACCATGCCAGAAATCGACGATACCTTGAGCAAATTGCTAGGTACCATGTTGCAAACAAGTCCGAGATTGCTTAAGGGACTCAGGCAACTGCTAACGCGCAGACGCGTAGAGGTAGAAGAGGCTCTGAAACCACAGGAACAGGAAACAGAGGAGGCAGAGGCACCACAAGGGGTCGCCAACCTCCAGAGGATCCCGGGAGATCTGAAAGACGTGGAAAAGGCCTTTGCGGACATCCGCTTAAGCCTACCTGACCGAGAAGGCGGCGAGGTCATGAGGGCACCTCCCAGAACGACGCTCAGCTTCCATGCACTTCCTGTAGGAAAGTTGAAAGTCCAGATCGGGACCCATCATACAGACGCATTAGTGGACGGAGGTGTAAAAATTACCCTCATACGAAGAGACTTCGCAACGATTACGGGTTGTACGGTAAACAAGGAAGTGACAGGGAGTATCCGGGGAGCCAGCGGGGAAATTTCCTTTGCAGGGTATGTCACGAAATGCGCAGTTAAGGCAGGAATCAAGGAGTCGATCTGGTCATTTCAGCGGATGACCGTGATGGAAGAAATGGACCATGACATAATCCTCGGGAGACCATGGTGCGCCAACGTAGAAATGATAGGCATGCACCTGCACGATGGCACGTACATGGTAGATATAGAGGACCCATTGACCAGCCGGGGAGAGCTCCTCCGACTCCTTGGGACCGTAGGAGATCCTCCGAAGGGGAAGTTGGCAACCTGGTCGCCAACGTTCGAGGATAGTGCGCGGAAAGGAGCATTTGCCCGGATGAAAGGGATGAGGGAAAGAGTGGAAATCATGATTGAGGAGGCCTTTAGCAAAAAGGAACGGATCAAGATAGGTCTGCCTCTGAAGAAAAGGAGACAAGAAAACGAGGTCCTAGGGGTCATGGTGACAAAAAAGCAGCCGGAAGTCGAACTTGGGGCCAGCCTGCCCAAGCCGAAAGAATGCTGAAAGGAAACACCGGAGGTAGTGCTTGAAGTTCCGGACCTGTTACAACTCGTCAAGGCTATCAAGTACCACAAAGTGGGGGTGGACCCGGCAGCGCTTGCCAAATTCGAGGATGAGGTCCGAAAAGACTACTGTCTGAACGAGAAGATAGTCAGTATTCAACCCCTCGTCGCGGAGATAGCAAGGCCGATCCGACCGCTCATTTTTTAGAAGAACGATCCCAAAAGAAAGTGTTTGAAAGTACAAGCCAGTAGGAAAGAAAGCCAAGCTGGTCTCGATCCTAGTGGAGACATCAAAGGAGGAGGCCATGGAGAAAGAGGAAGAGATCTTGCGAGTAATAAGGGAGAGACGAGCGGCGGAAGGGCATTGGATACCCGATGAGGTAGCAGACACCATGAAAATAGGGATAGATTGGTTCCTAACGGTGGAAGAAACCCAGCTGATAAGGAAAGCGTGTCAGGAGTTTTACTTAGCATTTGCGTTCAATGACCATCAGAAAGGTCGATTGGATGCAAAGCTAATTTCCCCCGTTAGGATTCACACAGTGGAACTTAAGTGTTGGAACGACAAAGGGTCTGCCTACGAGTTCGGAATAGCAGCAGAAGTCACCGAACTGGTCAGAGCCAAGATAGATTCGTTCGTGGCCGAACCCACTGCATCTCCCTATGCGAATAAGTGGTTTGTTTTTCGGAAGCCCAACAAGACACTCAGGTGGATCCAGGATTCGCAGATGCTGAATGCGGTAACAATCCGGGATGCGGGATCGCTTCCACAGACCGATTTGCCAGCAGAATCTCACGCTGGCCAGAGCATTTATTCCTTGATAGATTTATATTCGGAATATGACCAACTGTCGCTCGATGCCAGGGATAGACCATACACCGCCATGCACACCCCTGTAGGGCAGCTGCAGATGCAAGTGACCCCTATGGGTTTTACAAACGCTGTGGCAGAAACACAGAGGAGAATGCTTGCGGTAGATGGGGACATGTTCCCAGAAAAATGTGAGCCGTATATAGATGACAATCCCATAAAAGGCGCGCAGAACAAAGACGAGACGGAGGTCCAGCCGGGTGTTCGAAAGTTCGTCTGGGATCACCTACAGGATATCAAGGACCTACTCCAGCGGTTCCTGGTATATAACATCACCGCAAGCGGACCAAAGAGCATCCTGGCGGTCCCAGAAGTGACCATATTGGGGTTTCGCTGTGGGGCCTATGGGAGGAAGCCGGACCCGGCAAAGACGGATAAGATCTCTCAATGGCCAACACCCTTGCGCACCACAACGGAAGAACGAGCCTTCCTAGGGGTGGTTGGATTCTGAAGGATCTTTATCAAAGGCTTTGCCAAAATAGTCGAGCCCATCCGTGCGATGATTAGGGATGGAGGGACTATGGAATGGACCGAGGACAGGGAAGCAGCGGTTCAGACCCTCAAAGACATTTTGTCCTCCGATCAAGTCACCTTGGCAGCGCCCTGCTTCAACGACGAGGTGGGATGACCCTTTATTCTGGAAACAGATGGAGGAACATTGGGGGTAGGAGGAGTCCTGATACAAAGGAGCGAGGAGGGCAGAGAAAGGCCTATCAGATTCGAGAGTAGGACCCTGAATTCTGCAGAACGGCGATACTCCCAGTTCAAGAAAGAGGTCTTAGCCATTCTACATTGCCTTAAGACTTTTCAGGCATACCTATTCAGAAGACGGTTTATTCTGAGAATCGATCCGACCAATGTCGCCGGGGTATTAAAGAACTATAAGCCTATAGATCCGACCGTTGGGAGATGGATAGGCTTTATCTGGCAGTTCGACTACAAGGTCGAGCGAATTGCGGGGCTCCGAAACAGGGCAGACGGGCTAAGTCGGGTCTGCATCACGCCGGAAGGAACAGAGGACGCTGAACCAATCGACGCCTTCCTGGAATACGAAGGAAGAACCCTCGTCACGGATAATGAGATGATGAACCTCGCTTGCACACCAGGACAGTTGTTGATTCAGACCCTGGAAAAAGGGGCACCTGTCGTAGTTGCGGAACTTAGGGAAGGGCCAGTCACCACGATTAGACGAAAAGATGAGAAGGATTCATGGGGGCAGCAGTGGGACTAAAAGAGGAGCTGAAGGCGATGGCCGTTGAAGGAGGTCGGGACGTCGTGATGTGCCTAGTAGAGTCTTGGACACGAAAGGAACGACAGTATTTAGTAAGTCAGGCTCAGGAAAAGCGAGATACGGACCAGGAGGGACAATAATTTTTCCTCGTATAAATGTATGACGACATCTTTCGAGAAATTGGCCTCTTACTCATAGGGAATAAGCAGCCTATGGAAGTTAGCCTCAAGGCAAGAGAGGAAGCTGAAAAGTATGTTTTGAGGAACGGCCACCTGTTTAAGAGGGACGAAGGAATGTCACCTAGGCGAGTTGTGTGCGGAAGGTCTAGGCAGTTGGACGTAAGACAAGCAATGCATGATGGAATAGCCGGAGGACACCGGTCATCGAAAGGGACCCTTGCAAAAATTGCGCCGCTTTACTTCTGGCCAGGCATGGCGGGTATGGTGGTCACTTACTGTCAAGCGTGCCTAATTTGCCAAGAAAGGAGCTTCGCGCATGTCTTTGAGCCTCTTAGACCTACTCGGGGTGCTGGGGCCGGGACATCTGATCCATCTTGACCTCGCAGTCATGCCCGTATCAACAGACGGAAACAGGTATATCGTGGATGCAAGAGACAACCTCTGTGGTTACATAGAGGCAGTGGCGCTTAAAAGAAAGATGGGGAAGGGAGTGGCCGATTGGGTAGAAGACTTCGACCTAAGGCACCCCTTCATTCGAAGGTTCATAGCGGATAATGGGACAGAGTTCGTAAACTACGAAGTGTTAAGCAGGCTTAAGACGTTGTGCGCACCTATCAAGATCATTGAGCCATATCATCCTGAGGCCAACGCGCCTGTAGAAAGGGGGCACCGGACCTTGAAAAACACAATTGCTAAGTTAGCGGCAGATGACCTCGGAAACTGGCCTCGGAACCTTAAGCAGGCGGTCTTCGCAGAGAACATGACGCCGAAAAGGACGACGGGATGCATTCCGGCAGAACTCTGGTATGGAAGGGAGATTGATTTCCCGATGGAAGCATTGGTATCTACCTGGAACAGGCTAGACAACAATCCGCACATGTCTACAGAGGAACTAATCACCGCGCGATGCCAACAGGTCCTCAGAAATGAGGAAGCCTTGGAAGATGTTGTTAAGCGTGTGATGGATAGCCGAATGAGGGACAAAGCGAGGTGGGACCAGGTCAAGAACATCCGGAAGGAGCCGCTCCAGGTGGGGGAAATGGTACTAGTTAGGAATTCGTTATTGGAAAGCACATAGTCAGGACAACTAGGAAGAAGATTCAAAGGCCCCTACCGGGTCGCTAAGCGGGTGGGGTTGAACACCTTTGAGCTTGAGGATCTTGATGGTACTGGGTTAAAAGGGTCATTCCCGGGACAGAGGTTGGTCAAAGTTCTGAGCCGGGACCCAGTGAAGCAATGGTTGCAGGAAGCGCAGGACAAGGAAGCAGGGGAATTGACAACTTGAAAACCAGGCAGCTGGGCCGTAATCTTGTACCGTCCCTCTATGGAAATGATCATGACTGCAGAGGTTGTTTTTGTTTATGTCGTCTCCTTTTCCCTGGGAACAAGCGTGACTGCGTGGGCTGAATATGGATGGGGTTGGGAGCCGGGGACAATATATTATAGTTTTTGTGGGATAATGTTGGGACTGCCTATATGGGGTACCTATGTGCTGGGACAATGTACCATAGTTTTTGTGGGATGATGGGACTGCCCGCCTATGATGACACTCTGAAAGGACTACCAATCATATGGAGATGAGCAAGGGTTTTGGGGAGTAAGCCTGCAAATTCGCAAGGGGAGTGGGAGGGAATGTGTTGATATGGGGGCTGTCGTGTTTCTTTTTTGTTATGTATGCACAGGACCAGGAAAAAAAAGAAAACAGCAAGAAAGATAAAGATGGAATTCGGAAACGAGAATGACAGTAACATCGTCAACAGGCCCAACAGGGAACGAGGGACGAGATAGGCTGGGGAACCAAGCACCAGAAAGAGAAAGTTGTATGTGGGTTTTGACTTCAACTTGGTCGTAGGAAGGGGTGGAAGAAAGCAGGGAACCAGGGGGCCCTCACCCCTTAGGGAAGGGGAAGGGATATATATTTCCTCTGGAAGCGAGAGCAGTGAAGGGGAGGATATGAGCCCACGGAAAAGACAGGAATCGAGAGAGGAAGAACCCAACGAGGTCATAGACCTCAGCAGTTAGGAGGAGGCCGAGGAGGTCACGAGGCCGACAAAAGAAGTACGGGCAAGGGATGGGGATCCGGAAGACGACAATGACAAATGGATAAGGGAGTTTGGGCCAACCTGTAGCCACTGGTTTGACCAGTGGACTAGTATCATGTGGTACGAGTGGGCGATAAAGGCACAAGAAAGTTGAGTAGGGGGGAAGACATAGCACCAACAACTTTCCTCACGGAAGGGGCGCTTGTCGACTTACAAAGCACAAAGAGGAGGATTCAAAGGGAATTGAACGACCGGGCAGGGCAGGCCCAACGCCAGGCAACTAAGCAACAAGGGGACTGTGCATGTGAAAGGGAGCATTCGTAGCAAAGCAAAGAAAAGAGGGAACGTATATCTGGGGTCAGGCAAGACTGGGATTTTTTATTTTTGCATTTGAATTCTTGGAAATAGACCGCAACGGGACGGTTTTCTGGCTTAGGAAATGGCTAAGGACTGGGTAGCTAGTGCTGCTTTCTATGAGTACTTGCTTCTTCAGAAGAGTTTGAGAACCAATGAGGTTGAGACTAGAGCTATCAAGGGCTGGCTTTGTCTAGGGAAAGCAAAAGGGAAAGGGGCACCTAGATAAGACAAGACTGTGGTATTGTTTTTGCATTTGATTTTTTAGAAGCCGCAACAGGACTGCTCGACGAGCTGGGAAGCACTGAGTAGCCAGTGCTACTTCGCATAAGTACTCGCTCCTTTGGAAAATGTAAGGATCGATGGCAGTGAGATGGGAACTGGGAATGGTTGGCTCTGTTTTGGGAAAGCAAAAGGGGAAGGGATTGTCAGGATTGAGGAAAATTTGTGGCAAAAGTGTTTTGTGCAATGTGTACACTCGGTCGAATGAGTTATGGCATGAGTTTCTGAGAGAGGTTAGGGGACTTATGGGTAAAGAGGCATGAAGAATCCTCTTCCCGAGGAGCCTAATCCAACCAGTCGCAGACAAGTCCAGAACAGCAAGAGAAATGAGAGGTCAGGAAGAGAGAAAACAATGATGGTGCACACTCCCCTCGCTATGGTTGAACGACCGGATGGGCTAGTGCTGCTTGGGGCTGCGAACCTCAACTTGAGCACTAGACGCTAAGTCGGATGTATGAATGGATAAGTGGATGTTGTTGACAAAAGACAAAGGAAAAGGCATGCGTAAAACCCAAGAAGATGACCACCTTCTAACCCCTGAGACAAAAATGGGATCCGTGTCCTCGGGCGCTAACATTGAAATGGATAAGGACGGCCCTGACAAGGCTGGCCGATTGGAATGGATAAGAATAATCCTAACCAGGCTGTTCGAATTGAGAATGGAAAGGGATGGCCCTAACCAGGTTGTTCCACTTGAGAATGGAAAGGAATCACCCTAACCAGGCTGTTTAATTTGAGATTGGAAAAGAACGACCCTAACTAGGTTGTTCGAAAATGGCCCTTGACAAGGGTCATTTCTTTTGAAATATATATATATATATATATATAGGGTCCCCTGCAAGAATTAATTGAGAGATGTTGATTGAGAAAGAGCTGGAATGAGCACTATGAGACGGAAAAGTCCGGTGGGTTGGTCATTGAAATAGCCACGAGGATGGATGGAAGAGAGTGACACGTTGGAAAGAGAAGGGCAGGATAAAGAAGGACGGGCCTCAAGACGAGAAGGGCATAAATCGTTGGGACGGTCATAAAGATTGAATGTTGCAAACGTGGAAGTTGAGGATTGGAAGTGCACCGACGGGTCGACCTTGGGAAAAAGCTATTGAAGAACTGACCACAGGATCGGTCACAAGGGGTGGCTTTATTGACGAGAGGCTGTCAGACCAGCCATGAGATCCGGCGATGAGAAAGAGTTGGAAACAGCATTGGATTGAGTAATGAGAATTGGATATTGCATTGCATAAGTCAAGGGACCCTAGGCAATTTTGAAGAAAGGTCGTCGCGCCGACCATGAAAATGGCATTGAGAATTGTTTTTCCTTTTCCTCTAGTCTCTGGCCTCAGCAGGAGGGGGATACCGGTGCCTGCACTGCGACCCCAAGACCTCTATCCTTCTAAGGGAAAAGTCTCAACGCGACCTGTTCCTCTTAAAAGGGAATGAGGGTTAAAGGATCAAGGCACCTATCCCTTGGATCGGTGTGGGCCGTCCGAAACAAACTCCGACAATGAGCTCTAGTCGGGGAGTTCAAATTGCGCCTCATGCTGAGAGCCTAAACGTCAAAGGGTGAGAGAACCAAATGGGCGAGAGAGTCATTCTTATTGTAGTCTCCTTTGCTCTCTCCAACCACACGCCATACCATAGAGGGGTGACATGGCCGTTTGGGTCGGACCTCGACTGCCCGCACTAAGTTGGGCGGCACTGTCCAAGGGGAGGGGCCGGGCGAGGTACCGGGTGGAGTCCGACACCACCACGAGACATTGACACCGCCTCGCCGAAACATTACAACCGTTTCGGGACTAACCGCGAGGTCTTCGTAACTACACTCGCGAACTAATAGAGAGCCCCAACTCTCTTGAAAGGAAGAGGCTGGATCCAAAAAAATCACCACTCGGGAGGAACGATTCGCGAGGGAAGCTCTTACGACTAGACGACACCCTGGGAGGCTTGGATTGGACCTGCCTGCCAGACGTGAGGAGGAACCTCAGTATTGGTGCTCGCCACGTAATGGTAAAAGGTCGGACTGAGTAGGAGGATGAGGTGTCACCCGCTGGGGGAGAACTGATCACTCTTCCCTTGTGAAGCGGATGGGTTTGTGTCCTTGACTGCAGTCGGCGCGCCAAAGGTCTGCATACCTCCGAGTGAGAACCGGTCATGCGATGGGGACATCGCATTTTGAGTGGGGGGAAGGTGTGCTATCCAAACGACGTAAAAGCATGCAAAAGAAAAAAAACTTGTGTAATTGGCTATGCATGGGCTTGAGAAAGGGGTCTGACAAGATGCCCAGAAAAGAAAAGACTTGTGTAATTCGCTTTGCATGGGCTTGAGAAAGGGGCCTGGCAAGATGCCCAGAAGAGAAAAGATTTGGGTAATTGGCTTTGCA